AACAAGCCGGATATACTATGACACGCCAGGGATTGTGGAGGGGAAGACCACCTAACATTTCTTAATTAATGTGCCAGACTACCACACCAATTGCTTGGTTTCAAGTTAGGGGATTCCTAATAGTACCAGAGCAACGGAATTCCCTTTGAGGCACTTCCCAGAACACCCAGATCAGCACCAAAATAGAAAAGTTAATTTGCCAAATTTGTCCTACCGGGAATTGAATCTAGGACCTTCGCATCCAGCGCCCACGGTGTTAAACCTTGAGGCTAACAAGGTCGTCCCATAAACATACTATGGGTATTTTTCTTTTGCTCCGAAATAAAAGAGTTATCATTATAAACATAAATTCGCTTTTATTGTAAATTTTTCTACCATACCGTAGCATAACAGAATGGTTTAGTTTTAGATGTTGCACAAAACTTTCCTGAAAATAAAAAAAGACATAATTGTACCTTCCACGATGATACCACTGGTTCAAACGACATTATAGAACCTGTCTATTTTTTATTTCAACAAACGACAATCTCTATAATCAGATAACAAATATCCAAAGTCCACTTAACGCTGTAAAATTTGTGGTCAACATCACACTTTTTGAAACTAACTAACCTCTAACAGACCTTTAATGTGAAAATTCTACAATTTAATTAATAACTTGGAGCGACCAAACATCCGTTGTACCAAACTTAGGAACAGCGAACACAAAAACCAACCAAAATCTTTCCCACATGTGGTTTACATTCGCAAACTTAACTTTACACTCGAATAAAGATAGAAGACTTGCACAGTGGTGCTTAACACAAAGCATTTAAGGAAGAAATTGTCAAATATAAATGTTACTGAAAGGTTAACGCGCGAAAGTTTTTTGGACAGATTTTTTCGTCACCGGATAAATAGGTCGCAGGTTATTTGCCATAGCAAGGTGCAGGCGGTTCTAACGGAACCTTTGGTGCTAAAATAAACGGAACGGGAATTGTCTTATTGGTGCTATGGGGTGATAAAATAATCTTTTGTTTTTAGATCTAAAGCTGCAGCTTGTTTGTTTTCTAAAGGTGACTACGATGAGAAAGTCGGGCTTGTCGGTCCTTGAATGTTGCCTTTAGTGTAACATGTAGAAAGGTACTTTTTTATAATACCGAGTGATGAGACGAACAAGTCGTGAGCCTGGTGATAAGCGACACTTCTATCCATAACAGTTGCAGTATCACTCAGAGTTTTAAATCGCAAAGATCTGAGGGGTACTGCCACTGCGCCCGTTAACCTGAGACATAAGTTGAAAGTCCCATGTTTCACCAGCTACTTTACGCTTCCAAACCGGAACACAGTCTCACATGCTCACATTACTGCTTGGCGGCAGAAATAGGTTAAATGGCAGTACTTCCCTGGACGTAAAAATAGTTACTCTAATACATTTCAAAACAGACCTGAACACTTCTACAGTTTGTATCTAAAAATTATCCCGAATATCCGATGTATTTATTTCATACATAACATAATACCAACAAAAACAAAACAACATAAACAAGGTCTTTCTTAATTTAAGGGCTGTTCGTGAACATAAATTATCAGTATTTTTCTAAATAAGCAATTACCCGCTTTTGTCAATCATTTTAAATATGTTAAAATTGCATTGATCGACGTAACCAAAAGTTGGATCACTAGAATCGTTTCTGGCCTAAAAAGTGGTTAAAAATAGATACAAAGATGGACAAAAAACAACGTCTCATGTGGGCCAACTATACGCAATATGGTATTTGACCCTTATAACCAGCGGATATTTGTTTTATCTTTAGCTTATCCTGTGGGATTTCGTACAGGGTGCTCAAAATTATCATACCTTTAGGCAACACGTGTTTGGGAATGATAATTATGAGTAAAATCATGCACTTAGCACCATTTGCCCGTTATTTCTATATTACTTAAGATAATTTAAAGCAATATAACCGAAAGTAATGTTTTCAATACTACAAAGATAAATATACTGTGACATTCTTTAAAAATAAATGTTACCGCTGCTATGGCTTCGTGTCATTTCTCTTGTCAGAGTAAAACACGCGAGCGTAATTATTAACAAGTATCGCGTTGTAATTTCATTGTAACAAAGCTGGAGCACTCCTACGCCACACGTTTTTTGCTTGCGCCGGGTCAGGCGCAGCGTAACGGTGAGAGCGACGCAACGACTTCCAGATGCGTTGGCTAGCGGTATTTCACCACGGTTTTTTTTGTCCACTTTTCTAAAGACGTTTGCATCAGTGTGTATTCTCTCAAGGAATTTAATTATGGAATCGCTGAAACTTATAATGTTCAGAAAATAAGAACAAGAGCATATGAAACAAGAAATGTTATATTAGTGACTTTAAAAAAATGTGTAATACATACGAGCAAATACTTAACCAAAAAAGTATTAAAAATAACTTGAAGCAAAAGCTCAGCTTTAATTGTTTTTACTCGTATCAAAACTGCCGCTCTTTTGGTCGTCAATTGGGCACAAGTTCTCATACGATGTCCATCACGTGTGGCCGAGCCACATGTGGGTGGACACATACAGGCACATGTCCACCACATGTGTTATGCTCTTCCCTCACCTCCTCCTTTCCCTCCCATGGAGTTATGGACGAAATAGTATTTAGCTATGAGAATGTGACCAAAACATACACCAACCACATACGTCATTATTATATACTGGAGTAACTTATTCATTACCTTATATTACAAGAGGTAACCTATCACAAACTTGATGTTTTTTTCTAAAATAACGTTTGTTTTAATTTTCATTACACCGAAAACAGAATTTTATCAAAACCGTTGTTCTGTCAGGATATGTTGGATGTTTGTCGCAAAGACATGATTAGGTCCGGTTAGATTAGGTTAAGTTAGGTTTAAAAGAAATAACATTTTCCTCTTAAAAATAACTTTCGACGTTATGAAAATTCGAGCAAACGTTATTTCTGGAAAATGCCATTTCGGACTACTGATAGGTAACCATTACAAGACTATTATAGACTTTTTACAAGACGTACAAGTCACGATAGGCTAAATAAGTATTAAATAAAATATATGCCTTCAATAAATATACTTATCCACGCACATATAAAAAAAGCCATAAATCTCCGTGCATAACTTTCATTCATTTCGATTCGCCTTAATACAAAAATTTAAGAAAGTAAGTACGAGTTTCAACCAAATATACCAACTTCATAAATATATTAACAGTTATTGTTTAAGAAAATTTAAAAAGCAACTGTCCTTTACCTTTCCAGTCTACCTCAACATTTTTTTTAGTTTTTCGCTACCTTTTTTTGTGAATTCATCAGAACGTAGGTCATTTTGGTCTCTGTTATGATTCCCACGTAGTGACCGGGATTTATGTATCGAACCTGTCGGCTTGGGGTGTTGCGTTGAATAGGAGATTATATCACGCGTTACGCTGTTGGAACCATGCTATATTTTATTATTTGATTCGTAAGTTAAAAATATTAAATTTATAAATCTGTTATTAAAAATTATACAGACTTATTTCGTATGGTTTTCTGCGGTGTTTTTCATGTATGAGCAGGATTAGCATATTTCTCCTCTTAACTCACATTTTTACTTTTTTTAACACTTATGAAGTATCGGTTTGCCAATCGAAATTGTTATACAATTCTGTCAATATTAAAAATATGCGCCTTTTAATACTTATGAGAAATAGAGTTTATTATATTATAAACTCTATTTCTCAGAATATTGCGACAGCAATCATATTCATCTATTTTTATCGCACGCTAAAATCAAAATAGCACGGCTATTCGAAGGGATGCGCTTCAAACCGAAAATTTATTTTTTTGGGCCTCTCTTCTAGTAGGAAGCAAAAAATGTACCGTTAAGAACACCACACGCGTTTTGCATAAATCATCTCGAGTGGAAACTTGTGTAGAATTTGCTGTTGACTTTTGGCCCTTTTTGGTTAGCGTTTGGCCCACTGTGCATTGGCAAGACCAATTTTAATATAAAACTATATATTAAAATTATTATATATATTTTAATTTAATATAAAATATATATCATTTTATATTAAAGATCTAGTTGTACAAAATCAAAGTACTTTATCAAAACTGCGTAATCATTGAATATATTTTTATTTACACGTAAGTCTCCTTTTCTTTTTTGTCTTTAAGAAAAAAGTATTCTTGTCTATTTGTGTATTTTAATCATTACACATTAATTTGCTATATACCGGTTACATATGCAATTTTTATTGTTTTGTTGATAGAAAAGCTTTTCAAAGGTATTCGGCATCCTTTTTTTTTTCAATAAGCGTCGGCTACCGTCACTTGAAAGTAAACGAACGTTTTTTACAATGTCCTCATCATTAGTCTACACAACATGTGTTTCAGATGCCATCAGGACCGAGCCTCTTAAAAACAATGTTTATACGCTTGCCCTGCTTGTAAAAAATTAACCAAAAAAAAAATGCCCAGGACAAATTTTTGAGATGACCGCGCCATAAATATTATAAAAGTACAATCAGTCGATAGTTTATCGGTTCCTTTTTTTAATTGGAAATTAAAAGTTAGGAGCAAATCGCGTTGTGACTTTAAAGATTCGATGTGGTGTTTTTGAAATGCCCCTTATTTTCGTTTTATTAACCGATTTAAAAAAAGATATGATATTAGATAGATAGATAGATAGATATACACTTTATTGCTCACATACAATAACAAAAACAGTACATAGACAACTTAAAACTAATGTGGGCAAAGGCGGTCTTATCGCTAAGAGCGATCTCTTCCAGACAACCTTTGAGGTATAGGAAAGCTAATCTAAGGAGAAGAGGTAGTGTGCCAAAGTCAGAAACGTATATGTAGTATAATATATATATATATATATATGTATCGAATAATAAATAAATAAATAACGGTGTACTAGACTTACATATATATTTGTAAATAATAAAGAAATATATATACCTAAATATACTTATACTTACCAATAAATATATAAATACATGTTGCATACTAGGAAAGTTTCAGAAGATAGTTACGCAATGCAGTTTTAAAAATAAGAAGCGACTTGGAATGTCGTATTTCAGACGGAAGTTCGTTCCACAATTGTGCAGCCATAATCGCAAAGGAGTTCATGTAGTATCCTGACCGGGTGAAGGGAGGTTTCAGCAAGTTATCCGCCTTGGACCTTAGTTCGCGATTGTGATCTTCACCGAGAAAACGAAAACGTTCCTTAAGGTAAGGTGGGCTTCGAGGGTCATACAGTACATTATAAAGGAAACTGAGAACGTGCTCCTCACGGCGCTGCTTGATAGAAAGCCACTGAAGCCTTCTCCTATACTCAGACACATGATCGAACTTGCGCAACCCGTATATGAATCTGATGCAAAGATTCTGCAGACGTTGGAGCTTGCCTAATAGATCATCATTGAGGTCAATAACACAGACATCAGCATAATCCATAATAGGTAGGAGCAGCGATTGCGCGAGTTCAATCTTGGTCTTCACAGGAATCAGATTTTTCTTCGTCATTTGTAAACCGATTTTGATGACTCTTTACTTGTTGGAAAATGGTAGTGGTAGTAAAGTAGTAGTCTCGTTGAAATTTGAAGAAAATATTCCACGGACGAATCTGGTTTATTGGATTCACTTTCCGTTAGATAGATGCTATTCCACAAACTTTAGTAGCTTTAGTGGTACTTTAGTAACAGTAGAGGTCCTTGTGTAAGAGTTCATCCAGGATAGTACTGCCTTACCTATTTCTGCCGTCAAGCAGTAATGTCAGCATTACTGTGTTCCGGTTTTGAAGTGCAAGGATGCTGGTGAAATTACAGGCACATGGGACTTGTAAAGTTGTCTCAGGGTAACGGGCGCAGTGGCAGTGCCCCTCAGATCTTTGCGATTTACAGCTCTGAGTGGGACTGCAACTGTTATGGATAAGCGTGTAGCTTTCCGTCAGGCACACTTAAAAAAACTTTTAAAGTCGGGTTTTTTAAATTATGTACATATATGTATATTTATTTCTTTAGTCCGATTTTTTTTGCTTGTTTTAATTTGTAGCAAAATATATGTAGCTGCAGTGCACATCTTCCCTTTGTTTGCTACCTGTAGCAAAAATTAAATTAAGTCCCTTCCAAATTCAATTTAACATGAATAGATCCACTTTTTATCATCCATCAACTCTTTCCAATTTTTTTACAAGCATCCAGAGAGCATTTTTCAAAAATAGTGGACAATGCACGGGTCCATCGCGAGGTCTATCAAAAGGAGATTAGATCGATAAGAACCAACAATGCTGTGGGCGTTTAGAAATAGACCGTTTAAAAAAAAATCCTACACGAAACACGAAACGAGGAATTATTCGCATCGTTTCCTTTTAGATCTTATAAAACCGTTTTTTTATTGCAAAAAAGCATAAATGGGGGATGAATGTGAAAAAAATCATGGACAAAGGCCGATGCACAAAGAAGTTTTTAATGCAGCTTTTTCTGACCGTATAGCTTTACAATCTGTTCTCGCTATATATAGGTACTAATATTTATACTACAAATACCTAACATTAAGAGCATTTGTGTACTACGTCCGATTCGTATTAGTTTCGAATCCGAGAAATGACGGTCGGAAATGTCACAGGGATCATTTTATCTCAAGGTGTACAAGCGATATTTGTGTTTTCTCAGATATGAATTGACATTTTTTTTAATAAGAAATAAGTGCGCATTAGACCTCCATCTCACATGATGGAGAGTGATGATGAGGTCGACGATGTGAGCATGCACACCTAAATAATGCCTATTCACTCCGGCCTTGAAAAGGTCCAAGTTATAGCGTTCGGGGAACAGGTCCGCAGGTAGGGAATTCCACTCTCTAGCCGCTCGCCATATAAATGTGGAACCGAAGCGCTTCGTGCGAATCCTGGGAATATCCACAACGTATGTGTGGAATCCACCCCACGTCTAGTCCCCCGATGATGGAAAGGGGAAGACGGAATCAAATTATGCAATTCCATCGCACACTCTCCGTGATATATCCTATAGAATACCGATAAACAGGCAACTCTAGGGCGGGGTTCAGCTTCTTGGCACGCTAGCGAAGTGGGTCCGAGTTTTGTAAAGCGCAATCTCGGTTGCAATGCACATACACGGTAATATTCTACATTTAATCCTTTGCATTCGTGACAGATTAGTTATACGTTGAAATTACGTACACGTAAATATATCCAGGGCTGAGTAGAATTATTTTTACGTCATCATTAGCATTGTCAGCCTATCGCAGTCCACTGCTGGTATTATGCCTATTACAATGTGCACCATTTCACCCAGACCTTACCTTGTCGCATTCATCTCCTGTCAATTACACAATTCATTACCGTTAGACATTCGAAATATCAATTGCAAAATACACTTTAGATAGGTAGTAATTGAAAAACAAATACAAAATACGTATTTGTATTTGAAATATGTTGCACGTAATTCAAATACTGCCTAGCCCTGAGTATAGTTATAGGTTTTAGCCTGGACTATTTTTGCGGATTCAAACAACGCCCACCCAATATCGGGCTCGGCGTGGCCTTATTAGGCAGTATTTATGACGGCTACAAAAGACGATTCAGCGTGACCAGGTTCTGCAACACTGGTGTACGCCATCGATACACTAAAAAATATACATACGTAACGTTTGTTGTCGATGTAAAAATAATGCAATTGAAAATAAAACATGAATGAAGTCCGCCTATGAATGATGACCCATTGAATGTTTTGAGCCGCGTCAAGCAACGGGGTGTGGTAACAAAAATGTACAGTCATCAACGTGAAGTTTGACATTTGGGTATTGTCCGCATTAGCATACTAGCCAACAGAACGGACGCCTCTGTTCAATATTTAAATTTTCAACTTGCCTTTCACCATTTATTTTTTATTGTTCTACATTTAAAATTTTATAGAAGATAAAAAAATTAAAATTAAGCTTGACGCTTTAGAGTTTGGATCATTCTTATCGCAAGAGGCTTAGTATGGAATTTAAATCTTATGTGTCAAAGTAATGTCCTTGACTGCGTAAGAGAAAGAGAAAATGTATATATGGAATGTATTTGATGCAGAAAATCAACTACTAAATTTAAAAGTCTAGTAAAAGAAATAAAAAAAATAAATGAATGAAATGAAAAAAAATATTATACCCGTTGTTTCGGGAAATATTTATTTGTTATTTTCATACAAGTAAGATAAGCTGACAAAGTAACAAACCATCAATTGTAAAGACAATAAAACAAAACGTCTGCCCACTCGTGCTAGCGTTTAAAAACTAATAAAAAAGCAGTCCAAATATGCATGAATGGACGCTGGCGCGATAGGTGTGATTAGAGTGTGCGCGTGGGCAGGCCTGTCATCGAGGGGTCATTGTGTATGGATGAAGACTATAAAGATGATAGAAGGGTCTTGTATTAAGAAATAATACTAGACGAGTGTATTTTTTGCAAGTTATGTTTATATTGTCATAAAATTAACTGTAATTCATTAAAATGATGATGTGCTTAATGTACAATTAATGTATATTTACTTTTTTTAAACGTTAGTGTTAATTAAATTTTATTTTTTTATATCTGTATTAATAGCTTATTTCAAAAGATTGAGGAAATTAAAAAATTTACACAATTAAACTATTTCGTAAGCTGTCAAATAGAGATCACTCTACTTCGAAATCCATTTGCAATACCATGTAAAGGTTATGTAACATTTCTCCGTGCCATATCTGTCTTGTCTAGAGTACTTGCAATATTTGTAGCGCGCGCAGGATTTGCATTGAATGCGCGCGGGCCGGACAGGCAACGCGGGCGCATCGACGACTCTGTCATTAGAGGACGTGCGATCTGTCGCCGCTCCACCCTTTCGAATGGAGTATTACATCGTATTACTCTGTACGACTGTACTCTACCCTTATGGTGCAAGTGCCTTTTGTTATGTAATGTGATTTACATAATTATAAAGATGGTTTTGCGGCTATTAGAGCTGCTACGGAGATGACTACGACCAGCACAAGTATTATCTACTGATTCACTTCCATGTTACATGGAATACGTCGGTCTGTTGAAAGTTGTTTCACAGAAGAACAATACATAGAAGCAAGTTAAAAACGGACGGCTTCCTTGCTACGGACAGGCTAAGAAAGGTACACACTTCGTAATAATTTTCATGAGTTTGATAAATATAACATAATAGCGGTAAAGTTCCGTTGAAGAACGTCTATGAAAACTGTTCCACATATGCATTCTTAATGTCAATTTTCGTTAGTTTCTTTAGGTACTAAGGTTGATAAAGAGAAATTGCTACTTATCACAATATCCACAGATCTGTTCCATCATTGTAATTTTTTAATGAGCAATAAACGGTATTACATTCAAGTCAATAAAATACAACACCATTCTAAAATACCTCTTAACCATTGCATCAAGCGTTTACATTTTCTGCCGTACACCCAATCGGTATTTCTCATCTCTCGAGTCTATTGAATAGACTCAAGGAACCTACACAACGTGGGCAGAGTCCGTTTAGCAACAGACCATAAGCTCCCATTAATTACACGGCACTTACCGCTCATTACAAATAGGAGAAACCAATTATATCTTTCACAACACCGCTGCGCCCGATTGTAATGAATATTCGGTGATTTATGTTGCTTTTTGTTTCAACTGACTGTACTAAGTAGTTCTATTTGGTTCGTTGCAGAGATTGACTAGAGATTACGTTATGATTACGTAATTTATATGAAATACTAAGATTTAGAAGTAGTTGTGTGTAAATGAAAAAGTCTGAATCTCAGAAACAACGAATAAGCCGGTACATATTGCTGTCTTGGTTCCAACGCTAATGTATGGGAGTGAATGTTGGGTATGGCAGAAGAAGCACGAGAGTAGAGTGAATGCAGTAGAAATAAGATCCCTCAGAAAAATATGTAATGTGCAGTTATGTGAAAGAGCGGAGAATGCTGTGATCCGTAAATGATGTTGTTTGAAAGAGGATGTAGTGACAAAAATAGAAAAGGGTATGTTGAGGTGGTTTGGGCACATGGAGCGGATGAATGAATATAGATTAACGAAATAATATATACAGCTAACGTGGAAGGCATCGTTGGACGAGGACGGCCACGAAGGACGCTCTAAAATCAAGTTGAGTGTATTCTTAAAATGGCTGGAGTGAGTAGTGAGAAGAATAAGAGGGCCTGTATGAAAAGATTGATGAATGTAAGTGAGGCGAGAGAGGTTTCAGGATCGTACTACGTGGCGATCAATAGTCTCTGCCTACAATCTAAGGGCATATTGAAAAGCAACCGTTCTCCCACTGGGCTGTCATCACTGTTTTAACATAGTTACTTAGTTTAATATAGGTAATTAAAAAGTTGTGAACCTTCTTCGACGTGCAGGATTCATGTTTGTTTCACGATATTTTCCTCCAAAAAGTTTCACATGGTAAATTTCAAATTAAATTTCGAGAAACTCAGAAGTGTGAGCCCGGAATCGAACCCACTGCCTCTGCTTG